TCTCACTGAATCTGAAACTCACTGATTAGGTTAGGCTGGCTGATCAGCAAGCTCCCTGGACTCCTTCTGTTTTGGCGTCCTCAGCATTGGGGTTCAGGTGCATTACTACTCCCAACTTTTTATGTGGATGCTAGGGTCCTTGTGATGACTTAGGTTCTCGTGTTTGAGAACAAGCATACTTTACATCTCCCCAGGCTCTGTTCATCTTTCATCACAAACTGTATCATTTCTGTTAAGCCTTTTCATAGTATTCTTGGTAATAACTAAGTATAGAGTTACAGGTTTAGAAATGGTTCTCCTATAAGGTGCACATAATGATCAATTTAGATGACAGGAACATGCATTTAACAACATAATTATACTCAAGGGAAAATCATAACTGTTTTTTTCTGAGACAGGGTATCCCTGTGGCTCTGGCTGATCTAGAACTCACTCTACAGACCAGGCTGACCTCAAACTCACAGAGATCCTCTGCCTCCCAAATTCTGGAATTAAAGGCGTGTACCACCACTTTCTGGCCACACAACTATTTTTATAACATCTGTTTTGTGATAACAATATAATAATAACCATGGTTATCAAGAGTATTTGGTGTATTTTGCCTTACTTGGCATAATTTTTACTGACAATATTAAAATAAGGCACAATACAGAATCATCACTCTGTAGCAAAAAGAGGACTGTCCATGAACTAAGACAGTTATAACTATAAATTCCTGCTCTGCCAGGTACTCTGGTTGCTCTTGGGAAAGCTAATTTATTCCGACTCTATTTCTTGTTTCGTTAAGTAGGGATACCGAAACCTCGCAGAATCAGGTGAGGTACGTCACTGTGCTTGTAAAGTACCTTGTGCAAAGCCCGATACACAGTATCAGTGAGTAGTGATGGTGGCTGTCATTATTAAAATTCTTCTTACTAATAAAGACAACGATTGTCAAAGATCTGTGGTGATATTTTATTTGTGATCTAATAAATAAAGCTTGCTTGAATATCAGAGAAGCAGCCAGTCACTAGAGTTCTTACATCTACCAATGCTCAGACCAGAAGGGTGACCCTGTTCTCAGACTGCCTCCTCAGACTGACTGCTCAGCCTGCAATGAGCTCCTGTCTCCTGCCTAATATTTCTCTCTCTGCCCTGCCATATCATTCCTATCTCCACTTCCTTAGTGCTGGGATTAAAGGAGTGTGATCCCAAGTGCTAGATCACCCTTGTGTGAGCCCTGGCTTTTAGACTGGGTCAATATCATATAGCCCAGGGTGACCTTGAATTAACAGAGATGCATCTGCCTCCGTCTCCTGAATCTTAGGATTAAAGATGTGTGCCACCAATGCCTGGTCTCTAGTGGCTTAATTCTGCACTCTGATTTCAGACAAGCTTTATTTGTTAAAACACAAACAAATAATCACTAAAGAAATCAGTTTCCTGAAAGATACTGAATGATAAGGAGGGTCAGCCACCAATGGAGGTGTTAAAATACCTGTGGTCAGCTGTCAGTCACCAAAGGAAGTGTTTAAAATGCCTCTGATTGGCTGACTATCCTGAGTTATCATCCTCACTTCAAATAAACGCAAAGTAGATGGTATAAAAGGAAAAGTTCTCTCCAAGTGTTCATTAAGTGAGGTAATGAGGTTGGCATTCACACTTTCTGCTGAACTTGCTTCCGAGAAAGTTACATGCAGGATAAAAGGAGGAGTTCAGAGGCTGTACCATTTCTGTTTTAGTGTTGCCCACACTTACACGTGCTACTGCTCACACTGACTCTTTCTCTGTAGTTCTGTGCCCAGGATTTAGAAATTAGCAACTAAGGTGAAGGTAGTGACAGAAGGAATGACTGAGAGTCAGTCCCAGCGTGGAGGGAAGAGTGAACACAGTCTGGGCTGAGGCAGAGATGCTCCTGTCCATGGCCAAAGGCTAGCTCAAAGAACCCATGGCCAAAGGCTAGCTCAAAGAACCCAAACTGAATCTGGTGTCCTTCAGGAGATTTCTGACCTGGGCAGTGCTGACCTGAGAGTAGAAAGGAGAGGACTCAAGCCTGCTGTCCTGAGGTCCCTGCTTTCTGTCCTGAGGTCACAGCTGTCTGTTCTGAGGTCACTGCTGTCCTGAGGTCACTGCTGTCTGTCCTGAGCTGTCTGTCGTGAGGTCACTGCTGTCTGTCTGAAAGTCACTGCTGTCCCGAGGTCACTGCTGTCTAACCTGAAATCACTGCTGTCTGTCCCGATGTCATTGCTGTCTGTCCTGAGGTCACTGCTGCCTGTCCTGAGGTCACTGCTGTCTGTTCTGAGGTCACTGCTGTCCGAGGTCACCATTTCCTACTGTCACAAGCCTTTTCACATTGTGGAAGTATGTGAGGTGGAGCACACATAAACCAAGAGGTGAGTCCAGGTCACAGAGCTGGCATGTGGTAAAGAGAGAAGCAGACCGGTGTTAGTTTGAATTTAAAGGCTGAAATTTAAGAGGTCCATGGGAACCAATTGCCTGCTCCTGGGATGCCTATAATTTAACTCAACACATTTGTAATTAAGCACATTTTCCATGCAGACATTTTTAATACGAAGAAAATGAAAAGAAGCCAAGTTTCTGCTGCTACTCAGTAGGCACTTACGATCTAAAGGAAAGATCTAGACCAAGTTAACCTGATCTCTAAGTGTCCTGTCTCTACCTCTGACCTGTAATGTGAGATAACTAGAATGTTTTGAAACATCTTGTCAGAAGAATGTTTTCCATGAATATTTAAAAAAGTCTATCATGTAAATAAAACCACATGACAAAGTCCACGTGATAAAGCATTTGTCTCACTCCTCAGTCAACAAGAACTTCTTTCACTGTTAGGTACTTGATTTAGAACTAAACAATTCCTACAAGGTAGGGATCTTTATGGTACCCATTTCACAGATGAGGGAACTGAAGCCTCAGGGGTGAAGTGATCCAATTAATGTGGGCTAGAGTCAATGGGGTATCTGAGCAGGGATAGAAAATCAAGTCTCTGGTTGAGACTTTTTTTTCTTATGTACTGTTCTAGTATAGTATAGAAAGACACTTTTCTTCTTATATACTGTTCTAGTACATTTCTGCAGCTGTGATGAAAACACAGACATACACACAGACATACACACTCACGCACACCCACTCACACACACATACACACAGACATATACACACTCACACAACACACTCATACACACATACACATATACTCACACACTCACACATACACACAATACATGCACACACACACATACCTCCAGCGTGTCAGGATCTCACTAGGGTGCTGATGAATGGTAAGCCTTCAACATGACAGAGAAACTGAAGAGGAGGTACGGAGCAAGTGAACTACTGGACAGACAAACAGACACAGGAGGACTTTACTGAGGGCCAAAGCTTAGTTCTTCATTTTATTGTTTTTATTGTTCTATTCTGTTTCTTTTCTGTTCTGGTTTTCTGCTCTAATGTAACTGTTCTGTCTCTCCAGATGTGTTTTTTCTAGCTTTCCTTTTGCATCTTTTCTGGTATTTTCCTTCTCTCATGTCTTTATTTTTTTTTCCCCATACAGCATACATGCCCCATTGAAATCTTTTAAGCCATATAAAAATTACACAGTGGTTACAATCTATTATTTTTCAAGTGAATGATCACAATTAATACAAGTAAAAAAACAGCATGTTTTTCATATCCCTTGCATGATTAAACATTTTACATATTACAGGTGAAAAACAAGTTATCCCAAGAACATTATCCCACATACATTCATACCCAAGCAACTTGTTATACATTAACAGAGTATAAGCAAGCATGGTATTTGTCTCAGCCAGTTCTTTTACTGGCAAGTTGCATTTTGTGGTTACAAAGAAAGGATCAATCACTTATTATTTATCTCAAAAGGTAATCTTATAAGGAATCTTGAAAGAATCACAAACCTAAACTTATATATATATATATAT